TTAGTAAATAAAATGTTCCTGAGAAATCCCAACAAATGTAGTATAGACGATAGTAAAAACCTTGATAAAATGCCATACTCTCTTAAACCTTAAAGTTTTTGGAAATGTACAAAATATACTCGGTGATAGTATATTACTTAAATATGGAATGAAATTAGGCATAATTATAATTTATATCTAAATCACACAAAAAGTTACTGCCACATCGAAATGTTTGAATATCCGACGAAAAATCTTTCAGGGAGACACACTGTCGCCCCTTCTGTTCTGTTTCCTTAATGTTCCTTTAACGTGTACTAAACAGTAATAATTTTAGAAACAATTTTTAAAAAAATGATATATTTAATCAACTATTCTACGTAGATAATGTCTTTGTCAAATACAACAATGAGTTGAAAGCTTCCTCAATACTGTAAAAGGTTTCAATGATGATATCCGTATAGATTTCGGATTAGATAAATATGGAAAAATAACATTCAGAAAATGCAGAATTAGAGAAACCCGCTCAATAGATGTAGAGTTTGTCCCAAAGAAAAAGATACCAGAACAACAAGAAGTCTATAAATAACGAGGTTTCAGCAACTGAGATTGAATACAGCATATTCGAAAGAAGAAGAATGTTAGAAAATATACTACAGACATGTACGCCTAATGTTTAATACCGAAACAGAAATATCAACCTTAAACACTGCGGTTGTCCCTGTGGTGCAATACAGTTTATTGGACCAGGAGATTAAGCGAATGGATGAAAGAACGAGAAAACTTCTCAATTTCCACGGTATACATCAAACTTCCGGTGATATTGATCGTCTGTATGTTCCCAGATCTGAAGGAAGCAAAGAGTTAGTTCACATGAAGCTGACTTACAAATCAAAACAATAGGTCTTCAAGGATATCTCGAAAGTACAGTGGACTGGATAATGATCTGTATCAAAGAATATGAACGAAATAAGAAATTCATTTAGTAATAAAGGAAGTCGACACATTATAAATTGGAATTTGAAGTGGTTGAAGAAGTACAAATGAACCATAAAGGTTCTACTGCATTGGCAAAGAACTAAAAAGAAAGCAAAATCAAATGCATTATATCAAATGGCAACATAAGCATCTTAAAGTTTAATACTCTGCCTTTATAAAACAATCTGAATTAGAGAAAAAATCATACCCATCAGTGATTACGTACTCCAGGGTTAAAAGCTGAACCGAAGATTGTATTCTTGGTGACAAAAGAAATTCTTGCTAAATAGAAATTACCAAGCGCACATAGTGAACAAATGTGTATATCGCAAACGAAGATTATAAAATAAATATCCAGAAAAAGTTGATCATCTTTTATCTAGTTGCACTGTGTTAGCACCGAATTAATATAAAACTCGGCATGATAGGGTGGGTCAATATGAAACTGGAAAATATGCACTTTCTACGGGAAAGAAACTGCAATAAACTTGTATGAACATCACCCACACTGTGTGACAGAGATAGGACCTGTAACAATTTTATAGAACTTCTAATACATTCAAAGAGAACAATCAAATCTAATCGTAGACTAGGGCTAAAGGCTGAAACCGAAGATTGAATTCTTGAAGTATGTCAATAACTGAACGGGAAAATATGCAGTTTTTCCGGGAAGGAAACTGCCAGAAACTGGTATGAACATCTCCCAGGCCCGGTTATAAAGACATGAGCTGTACCAATTCTGTAGGACTTTACAAAACACAGGGAACAATTAAAACTAGTCGCCAAACTTCGGGATGAAAGACCACAAAAACAGAATGTGCGTTGTTATTGAAATTATTGTCCCTGTTTATTGTAATATATCTTAGATTTAAGATTTATCAAAATACATGGATTCTGAAAATAGAAATATTAAACATGTAGCGCATGAGTACATAAGTAAGGTCAGTTGTAGTTCAAGCACTCAGGGAGATTGGAAAATGTTCCGATAGTCTTATTGTAGGGTTTCCTGGGAACTCACGCTTTAAAGAAATACATTTTTTTTTTTACTCATGATGCAGTTCTCACATTATGAAGAGTTTTATCTGTATAAAATATGTGTGATTTTATTCTTCATTATTTCAGTTATATTTATATATTTTTACAAATATGAACAATGGAAAATATATGAAGCAAATAACAACAACAACAACACTGTAGGCCTATCAGCTACAAAATGAAGTACTATCAACTAAAGAAAAATAAAGCAAACACTACAACTGAAATTTCAAAGAATCCGACACGATGAAAAAAGATCGAGGTTCTATGGACAGAATAAAATCTTTCAAACTGACGTGAAGAAATTTTACATAGAAATATAAAATGTCAACCCTACCTCCCCAAAATGGAAGAGTTTATAAAGTTCTGGGAATAAATATATTTATGTAACTAGTGTTCTTTTGATTGTTAGAAAAACAAATCATGATATGCGCCAATAAAAACATACCACAATCTGCCTTCGGTCTTCCCGCAGATTTGGTAGGCAATTTAACCTTATCAGAAATACAGTGATGATGATGATGATGGTGACGATAATTTCTTATTGACAAGAAAGTCCCCACAGACTGTAATATATGTTTGAAGATCTTCAAAAAATATAAAAATACAACGATCGTGAAGTGTAAATTTTAAAAACGTGGCACATGAGGAGATCATTAATTCCAGTCGTAGTTGGAGACCTCGGATTGATTTTCAAATTTTCTAACACATTAAGTGAATGCATTTCTGACTGGAAATATTTTAAAGAAGTAAACAAAATGGTAGTCACATGCACAGATCTCACATTACTAAGAGCTTTAATCTATGTAAAATGCGTGTTTTTCTTAAGTTTTACTTTTTTCTTTATTTTTTTGTAAAATTGATCAGTAGAACATGTGATGATGCCATTTCTGAACTTATGTCTCACATTGGGAAAAGAAGGAAATGTGTATACAACAAAAATCAAAAGAAATAATAATAAGAATACTGATAAGAATAATATCCTACTGTATACAGATTTTGTCAGCTTCCTGAGTTGATGAGTGTATGAACAGTTTTAAAATGATGAGATAGTCTGCCAATAATATTGTTTTAATAATATATTAGAATCAAGTAAGCAGTGTTTTATTTGTTACCAAGTGACACGCCCCTTCTGGTGCTTAGATAAGTGCATGCATGGCATATATATGTGGAAGAACTTGGAAAACCAACGTATTATGACCAACTTTATCCCAATATCCGGGCTTCGGAAAGGTCATACCAAATTTTCCACTGTATCATATTCACCTACATCAAAGAATTCGTAAAGCAAAATAGTGAAGTTCCAAAACATCAATTCTTGCCATGGGATGAATGACAATAGATCTTCTCCTCCATACTTGGCTGACATTGACGAAACATTGAATGTTTCAGTGACCTATACGGAAGGAATATAAAACTTTAACCGTATTCAAATCTATATATATATATATATATATATATATATATATATATATATATATATATATATATATAGATAGATAGATAGATAGATAGGAAAGAGAGAGAAAAAGAAAGAGATAGATACATAGATATAGTTATACTTATGGAGAGATAGATATTCCAAATGAATAAGCTAGATAATATAAAATAATGTTTATATATATATATATATATATATATATATATATATATATATATATATATATATATATATATGTATGTATGTAAAGAGAAAAACATTATTTTGGTTTCTCTCCATTTGGTGTAACTCTGAGTTTCATTCATGTGACAAACATTTTAGAAATATTGAAAACTGAACTTTTTAATATTACATTATTCGTAGTAGAGTTCAGGGAAGTAATGCTAATCAATTTCCTAAAAAATTAAGTAATTTAAACATATAGAGTTGTAGGCGAAATTATTCACCGCCCCGCTTTGATATTTACATATCTTATAAAGAAATATGAATATTTGAAAGTACAAAATAAAAATACCACAAATAGCTGATTCCGTATTTATTTATTTTTTTAAATTCCGTGAATCTTTAGAATTTTCGTTCCATTGTATTCATAGTTTACGAATATTTTTACAAATTGTGCAGTTCAAAATTGTTTGATCTTCTTATAGAAATTATGAAACACTATTGCTCTATGGCAATTGTAATCTATTTGTTTTCTTTTTTTAATTTGACATTAAATACAAACCAACGTTGAAAATGAAATAGTATTGACCTGATTTTTTTTTACATTCTAAAATCTAATGAAGAAGATAATATTTAAATACCACGTAGCGCGATAATTCATTTGTTCTGCAACCAGAAAAAGAAGGCTGAACTTGAAAGGAAGCTGTTAATGAGTCAGCAGTTCAAGTCCGGCTGATCGTTTGAACTCTCTGCCTTCGGGCGGGGAGGAACCTGAAAAAGGCTACGCCGAAGGGCGGATTCTCTTTCGGGGAGGTAAACCGACGCTGAACCCGTTCATACGGGTTCAATGAGCATATTTTGGGCCGAGCCCACGGGTTCGGAGATCCCACGTTAAACCGGCCTTGTGCCACATGATGCCCACGTGAGGGGTGACTAAATATAGTTAATGAAGATTGCTGATGCGGATAACTAGCGTGATGGATATAAAACACTTTACAAGCATTTAAATATCCGTGGATCTAAAATTCATATCATTACCAAGAATTACAACGAGATTCTTTGTGTTGAGAATAAGTTAAAGACTTGCAGAAAAAAGTTAATTTCTAAGAGGATGTTAGAGATGTCTCCAAGGCTCCTCACTTCATGAAAAAGGACATTGACACTGAGGTAAAACTCAGTCTGGAATGTAACGACGAACCCTTCATAAAATACTTTCATCGTGCAAGACTTTAAGATTGTCACTAAAGTTAAACTCATTTAACTATCATGTAGATTTGCTTAAATATTGTAACACTGTTTTAGTGTCAGGTGAATCCAAACTAGAACTATTTGTTTACATAAAATGCCGTCATATATGTAGGAAAGTGAATGAAGCAGTCAAAGTAAAAAATATCCTCCATACAATTTAGTACGGTGGTGGGAGCCTTTTGCCCTGAAAGTATTTTGCTGGACAGGGAGAGCAATTGAACGTACTGGGTTATAAGGATAAAGAGCAGTATTTGGTTATTCTTAAAATTAATGCAAAACGAAGTGCACGAAATCTATCTTTGGGGCGTCACTGGACATTCCATTATGATAATGACCCGAAACCCATGGAACGAATTATAACAACATACTTAAATGACTGTAAATTTAAGGTTTTGGTATACCGGCACAAATTCTTACCTATAACCCATTATGAGAATAATTGAAGAAAAATAAGAGAATGTAATACAATACCTATCAGTAAGGAACTATCTAAAACGCTTAAAGGCAATAACCAACAATAAAATGTTGCACAATTGATTATCGAGGCAAGAGAGACAATAATGAGAGTGCCTATGTTAAATGTATTATTGTTTGACATTAAAATAAAAATTGTGTTGTAGGCATCAAACCACTTTCTTTTAAATCCATTATTTCGTCAGTTGTGAAAAATGCATATAATACTTCCATGTAAATTTGAGGTATTACAGCTTATTTGTAATTATGGATTGTGGTGGCGCTGAATAATTCTGTTGGCAACCGTATGACATATATCAACTTTTACCGGTAAAGTATTCGGAGACCAAGCGATTCTCATATGATTAATAAATGAAGCAAGTTGTCCCCAAAAATTAAAACCGAGTGAAGATTCACGTTCAGAAGATCATATTTAATAAAAAGTTTATAATTCAATGATAATGGGTAGTTTGGAAAAAAATAATATAAATATAATCATTAAAATGACTTTTTTAAGCATCGTTACAGAAGCGCTAAGAAGACGTACGAAAGGTTTTAGTGATTTGAAATGACAGCTGAAACCTGAGGGTGAATCATTTAATCATTGAAATCATCCAGATACATGTTTGAATAATAAAAGTATAACCTATCAATTTACCGCAAATAAATGCTCATATATGAGTCATTAAGATGGTGATTAAAACATAATTAATTAAATATCTAACGCTAAATAATAATACTGTCTACAAATACATACATAAATACATGCATACGCACATATATAGAGAGAGATAGATAGATAGATAGATAGATAGATAGATAGATAGATAGAGAGAGAGAGAGAGAGAGAGAGAGAGAGATTCTAAAAAGATGAAATCGTTCGCAAAGAACGTTAAAGATAGATAAATTATATGAGGACGAGATTTGAAAAGATAGATATATAGATATTTAAGTATAAACAGAGAGATTCTAAAATAATAAAAGACAATGTCCCAAAATGATTTTAAACGAATGTTTTAGATAGATTTATAAAATGATCATATCTAAAAGAATCAGACATAATTTGAAAAGAATGAGACAGACAGACAGATATATATATATATATATATATATATATATATATATATATATATATATATATATATATATATATAGAGAGAGAGAGAGAGAGAGATAGATAGATAGATAGATAGATAGATAGATATGGACAGACTGGCGTAGATAAAAACAGGGACATTCACACATTAAGATAAATATTAATAGGCTGTGGTACAGAATTAAATAGATAGATACACATATATATTAAGAACGACCAGCCTATTAGATATATATATCAACATTTATGAACACATCCAATCGTGTAAAAAATGGCATATATATAACACAATTTGGCAGTGGCTTGTGGAAAATACAAATATTTAGACATTGGAAAATAAATAGTTTGATATTAACAGGAAATCAGGAAAATATTAAATATATATAAATAAATAAAATATCCGAAAATACATTAAATAAAATAAATGATGCAAATAGGACATTACTTGTTCATTATACAGTCTTATAAAAAAACGAAACATCCCTCCCCAATTATATATATATATATATATATATATATATATATATATATATATATATATATATATATATATGATTATAAACAAGATGGCGAAAATTAAATATGTTGTTCAATATCGATATTATTTCTGATTATGTTGCATATATTTTTAGATATATTTAGATATAAAATGTTTTTTTTATTTGTAGATATATTTAGAGAATAATGTCAAAATACAATGTGCTTGACGGAAAAACGATTTCCGATTTGTGGAAATATGGTTTAATATATTGTTTCAATATATAGACAACTTTTCTTTTTCAAACAATGATTACGATTGGCGCTTTTGGTTAATGGATTTTCAAAATAACTTGAAACATTCTCTATGAATATCTTTTACGCAGTTCTCATAGCATAAGTTTTGACATTCATTCTGAGATATAAACGGCGATATTTAAAGTTGGCGAATGAAAGTGAAAGCAATTTTTATATAAGAGATTATTTTTTAATAATTCGCAAACTGTGGAGGTTTGAGAAGCTGGGTGTGTTAAATAATAGTTTAACTGACTCTTATTTTTTTATAGGAAGTGTGCCTCTTCTCGAACTTCCTGAGTTTGACCTTCGAAGTCAGATTGAAGTCAAAAAAAGGAAGTCGATTTTGACTGGCTTAGCCGGCGTGGGAGTGATCAATATATTTTCATGGATTTGAGTCTTAACCTTCAAGCAATGTAGACGTTTTTATTTACGTGTCTTAAACACCTCTCCAATGACCGAATCCCACTGGATAGATAAAACATCTCAACATGAAAGTTATTAGATTTGTTAAAATTCTTTGAGTTTCATCACTGGAATCAAAATAACTAGCGGTCACCGACCGCGAGAGAAGAAATGCAACTTTATTATCGATTTGAAACTGACGCTTAAGAGCTATCCAGCACAAGGGAACTACACAGCTGGTGTTCCATTGGAAGAATAGATTGGCATGTTGCATGTGATATCTTAATGGTGCTTCGATTATGAATGTAATGATCGTTCATATATATACATATTAGACTATATTTCCAATATCTAGGTTGTAAAAACGCTGGCATATTGATGCATTTTAAGGCCGACAGTTGCTCACCACAAGACTCCCAGAGAACAGATCCGAGTAAATGTGTTCAATTGTGTTTCCACAAGGGCCGTTAGGAATCGTTTCATTGCAGCTATAACTGGACCTTGCGCCAGAGATCATTGGTTTAGCGGGATTGTCATTTTGGAGATTAAATGATGCTCTCTAAAGTTCAATGATACCTTCATGCATGTCATGGTCATTAACAAGTGCCATATTGAACTGAATAATCCATAATGCATTTTCATATATCTAAGTCATGCAAAGTCTGTCTACGTTTGTGTTTTTTTCTAAAATATACGCACATAATTTATGAAAGCTTGAACATTACCAGGAAATTTCTAAAATATTATTCAACCAGTCCCGGTAAAATTTCTGCAGAATGGGACCCATGTGATATTTCCCCAGAATATTTTCCGCTTACATGATACTCCTGCCCGACATAATTGTCCGTAAATTGCTTCACTGTCATTATCAATTGATGTCTCCCACAAGACTTGATCAATTAGTGAAATCTAGTTGTATTACCTAAGAATTTCATTTTAAGGAATTAATGCACATATTCAGATTGCATATTTTTTTTGTTACCTGCTAACGTTCAGTGTATACATCGAGGGCCAAGATTTGTTAAAACTTAATAACTCCATATATAAAAAAGGTTCACCAAGAACTGCTCTCTTCCTCTATATGCCCATTATCTTTAGGACGACTACAATCATGACTCTCCACAAATTCCTGTATTTATAGCTCTTATTGAATTTCGTCTTTTGATTACCTCTAGTAAACATTTTTCTATTTCCCTTCAGTCTGTCCTGTGAATATAAAATTTGCCGAAACTTCTTACCTAAATATGTAACATAGAATTTTCAACTTTTTCTTTCTGATGGTATGTATAAATGTTATTTTTGTTTCCGTTTTTCTCCAAAACGTCGCAACCATAATGAAAGATTGATTTCCGTGTTCTCCCCACATCTTAGCTTTAATTCTATAGCTATTTAAATATCGATGAAGGTAGATCCAACTTTATCGAACAGGATAAAGAGAAATTACATGTTGTAATTTCGCTACATGTACAAAATACTCCTGCTATGTACGTATGTATGTATGATGAGGTCAGGATAAGTTCGCCTACTTGGAATATGCAACTCAGTAAAACCGGCCACATGGACGGGTGGTCGACATACAAACTTGCGCCAACACAAGCTTTCCTTCTAGTGAGAATTGTGGCATGGTACATTACATGGTTTTCCTATATGAATCTTTTAATGCATACATCACTAAATCGAATTCTTGACTCTGGTTTTAGGACATTACTAACTGGTCAATTAAATACTGCAAGATACATAGTAAATATATTATCGATTAAATCTTTTGGCTCAGTGTATTAATTCTCAGTGGTATGAATCTCTAAAAATATTTTCAGTCACTCTAATCAATAATCTTCGTGGTACTGAAATCGTTTCTGTACATCGGTTTGAATATGAGACGTAGAACTGCTATTTTTGTGAAATGTCACTTCTTTCTTAGGAAACACTTAAACCTGACAAAGTGTTGGCTTCAATGATGTTGATTTAAATGAAATTCATACAACTAAAGTGCTACTTAAATAGTAGCTTCAAGAGTTTTTCAGTGAATCATAGAATTGATTAGTAGTTGTTGGCCCCATTGTTCTCAAGGATAAAGGTGTACACATAGCAAGATCTATCCTTTTAGCAGGCAATTCTATTATATATATATATATATATATATATATATATATATATATATATATATATATATATATACGAATGTATTGGGAACGAAAATAATATATAAATTCTAACGCATTAATTCAAAAGAAGGCTCAATACCGATAGTAGAGCAATACTTATTATTTATTATATTTTTTCATTTAGACAAAATGAATAGGAATAGAATTGAAGGAATGATATCACTATCTGACGCTATAATGATACATATCTAACAATAATATATGTACTGATTTTTATCATTAATACTTCCATTGCATTCATGGAAAGAAATATCAAGAAATTTATTTTATAAATATTCGCGTTTCTAATTACGTAAGGAAATAACGTTGAAAAATATCCTATTTACATATTTATGTTTTTTTGTGGCATTAACGTTAAGATTATTTAGGTCATACAAAATATGTTTTGCGTCTGAAACGAAAGAAAAAACAAAAAAACAATATGCATTCATGATGAAGGTTATTCCATTAAACGTATATTTCAAATGCATGTGCCAGGTCACATTAGGAATATTGTTATTGCATTTTACTTATCACATTACATTAGTCCAGAGATGTATGAGAAGTTGTGACGAAGACACGTCAATACAGACGCAGAAGAGACACCTCAGACGACATTTATCAACTTCAGATACATACGCGTTTTCCCGTTAGTCACGGAAGGTCTTACATGACTGCATATGTGCCACTCTGCAACTGGTCAAGATCCAGGACTTTGTAAGATGCATCATGCCAATATATGCGGGGGGACAGTAGCCGGCAAAATACTGTGTCTTTTGAAGTTGGACCCGTGGGTATTTTGGTCCTCAAATTAATGTCTTTTCCCAGGCAGTGTTATTTTTGTTACGAACCAAATCTTTCCCTCTCTGCAACTGTTGCCCCATATTTGCTGGGAAAGCACTCGGTTAGGTGTTTTCCACAATCTCAAGAAACTCTTTGCTTACAGCACAAATTCAATAGGCATATTTGAAATACTACCGTCTAATAGAAATTGCACAAACACTGACAGTGAATGCTTGTCCGTACACGCACATGCACACACGCAAGCAAGCACGGAAAACACAAACAGGTGTATACACACATATACGGAAGCACATGTATACGGAGATCTACAATCTGAATTTTGTTAAATCAAATTAATCTTCAACAGATTTATGTTAAATGAAGCCTCCTGAAAAATGGACACAATCCTGGAAATTTAGATTAATATGCAATTTCATAAATTTAATTTAATGTTAAATCTTTTTCATTAAACTAACTTTATATCCAGAAGTGACGTGGTCAAATATTTTCCGACGAAATAATTTTTTTTTATTAATTTATTATTATTATGCTTAGCCTATACGTACTAAAAGGGTTATATTTTCAATGGTAACAAATTTTCTCTAATAATATTCATATTCTTTTCAAGAATGCGATTGATCTTTCATACCTGACTCAGTTTAT